TTATTACAACAACTTAACATTTTATATTTTCATCTGATACAGGTCCACCGACATTCAGTAATGATCTATTCTGGTAGGTCATTTATTGTGAATATAGATGTGCTCACCAACTCCTGAGGTGCACAATGAGTAACAGTAGCTACTGCTCCACCTTCTTTCCAAACCTCATCTGACATTAACATCAGCACAGAAACTGTGCACCGGGAGCCTCATAGCACGCATATAGCAGCTAATTTAGGCTACGTCTACACTAGCTAGGATAAATTTGAAAACAGCGTTTTCCGCATCCACCTTATTGTTTGTTGTGCGTCCACATTGAAACCAGTGTTGCCAACTCCTCAGTAAGGAAAATCGCTATTGGTTGTCCTAAAAGTCGCTAGAAGTCGCTAAATGACGTCATCACCTAATTTGCGTAATTGGTCATGCTAATGTAATTGTAACCCACGCTGCTGGAGAGAGAAATAACATCGTGGACGAGACATAAAGTGAGCAAAAAAAATCCTAAATGCATTTAGAATTTATTTAGAACTACAAATTAAATTTCTTTTAGCAATTATTGTTTTTTGTAATGTCACAATTCCAACCCTGCTCCTTTATCCGGGCTTGGACCGGCAAAAGTGACCCGAAATAGGCACTGGTGGAGTTACTTTGTGTGTGTGTGTGTTTATAAGTAGTTTTAAACCTGATCCACAAAACAGCATAAGAGTAAAAGAAGAACTGACTGCGTTACAGCACCCGCTGCTTGTTGAGAGTAAAAGCGATATGCGCTTTCACGTCTTTTTTTAGCAACTTTTTCTAGAAAAAAAGTCACTAGGGGGTCTGAAAACTCGCTAAATATAGCGACAAAGTCGCTAAGTTGGCAACACTGATTGAAACGGCCAAAAACCCTTAAGTCCCAGTACTGCGCATGCGTGAAATGCAAGATGCTTCGACCTGCTTCATTTCTGTCTGCCGTTTTTTTTACTTTCCGGCTCTTTGAAACGTGGCAACAAAATGTCGAAGAAAAGCACAGAGTTTTTTAAATGGACTAACAATGAGGTGGAGTTGTTGCTGCGAGTAACACCAAAGTACAAAGTT